TGTCCTGGTTGAGTGGTGAAATAGCAATGTGCTAAACTCCGCCAGAACGATAATAGAAACAAGGTGTTAACAAAGAACAAGTCTGCAAATGACTTGAACTCGTTTTGAGCTCCAGCCCATTAAAGAGCATCAATCCTTTTAAAAGATCTTGAGGCCCTTTCAAAGTTCTTTCAAAGAGCTTAAGGTCTTTTGAAAAAGGCTTGTAATTGTTGAAAGAGCTTGAATTAATTTTTTATTTGTATTTCTATTCATTGAACTCAAGTTAGTTGTGAATTGTGACAGATAACTAACTCTTGAATTGTGAATTAAATTCCTTTCGACAGTAAATTTGGCCTGATATCTATATTTTTTATTAGTACAAAATATGTTGTTTATGGAGAATGTAACCTGGTGTTTCAATGTCGCCTGTCCGTTTAAACGTGTAAAAATTAAAGATTTAAAATTTCAGTACAATAAAAACTGGTTAACTACGGAACTAAGAGAAGAGTCCAGTTTCCTAAGAGCTTTATTTTTTAAAGCCAAAAACTCAAATAATTCTGAGCTGCTCGAGACATACAAAATAAACAAAAAGATGCATAAAAAAATATTAAAGCCGCTAAGGTAAATTATTATTCCACTAAAATAAAAAACTCTGAAAATAAATCTAAGGAAACTTGGAACATTGTTAATAAAAAACTAAATAAGACAGATTCCTCATTTAATAGGCAAATAATACTTAACGTAAATGGGGAAACGGTTATGGACAGTTCTAAAATAAGCAACTATTTCTGTTCGCATTTTGCAAATATTGCCAGTGTTAATATATCCAATCTTTTTGGAAATATTACATCACTTCCATGCACGAACTCCAAATATAATATAAATTCTATGTATTTCTATGAGATATCAAGAAATGAACTGTTAAACGCAATCTATGGATTAAAGAATAAAAAATCATTCGGACTGGATGGCATATCAGCACCATTACTAAAAAATATTATTTTAAGTTTAATCAACCCTTTAATCTATCTGTTAAATGAAGCAATCCAAAATGGAGTTTTTCCAGAAATAATCAAAACTTCTAAAGTAGTGTCAGTTTTGAAGAAGGGATGTAAGAGTGATATCGAAAACTACAGGCAAATATCTTTCGATTCGGTAGATCCAACAATTCTGATAAATAAATTACAAGCTTTAGGTATTAGAGGAAATATTTTAAATGTCCTCAAGTCCTATATGGAATCCACGAAAATCTTAGTAAATTATAATGGTGTTAACTCTGAAACAAAAGATGTCTTCCTGGGAGTACCCCAAGGTTCCATACTGGGGCCATTGCTATTTCTGTTATATATTAATGATCTGCCTGACCATATTCAGGAAGGATTCACTGTCATCTATGCAGATGATACATCGGTATCAGTCTCAGCTGACTCCCCTGTGGAACTGTGTTTGAGTGTTGCTAATGTTCTATCTCAAATGAATGACTGGTGTTTTAGAAACAGACTGATACTTAATACCAACAAAACTGTTTTCATTAATTTTAATCTCAGAAGACCGTGTTTACTTGAAGAATTACCATTAAAAGACAATGTCACATTCTTGGGTACACAAGTAGACTCAAATTTACTGTGGGACTTACAAATAAACAAAGTGTGTAACAAGCTAAGTTCCGCACATTACGCGATATTGCAGTTATCAGATACGCTTAACGAGGCTGGACTAAGAACTGTTTACTATGCTTTAGCAGTCTCCCTTTTGTCTTTTAATATCATGGTGTGGGGCAGGTCAAATCAGTTATATCGCGTGTTTGTTCACCAAAAAAGATTGATCAGATTAATATTCAAAATAAAATACAGAGCGAGCTATAGAGATACATTTGTTAATAAGAAAATATTTACAGTTCCCTGCATCTATATATATATATAAGTGCTTAATTTTTGTCAAATACAATTTTAAAGATTTCTGTACATTATCAGATCGACACACCTATCACACAAGAAACAATGAATTGTTAATGATACCACATCACAAAACATCTAATTTTAAACACTCGCTATATTATAATTACATTACACTGTATAATAGCTTACCTGACAATATAAAATGTCTTAAAATGAATAAATTTAAAATGGAAGTTAAAAAACTATTATTACTAAGGGGTTATTATAGTGTAGATGAATTTTTAAATAAACCTGATGGTTAGTTTCCTCGTATTTGCATGTTATGTATGTGTGTATGTATTGTATGTATATGTGTATATATAATGTATGTGTTTGTGTGTGTGTATATACATGTATATGTATATGTGTGTATATATACAGAGAAATAGCTAGACGCTATTTTTTTCCACCTTTTTTCTTTATGCGGGAATACCCGATTATTTTCATCATTTTACTTTGCAAGGTGGAAAAATGCATTTTTCCACCTTGCAAATTTTTTCTTTATGCGGGAATACCCGATTATTTTCATCATTTTTACTGTGTGTATTTATATATATATGATAAGTTGTTGATATGTTGTTGTTTTTTATTATTTATTCTTATTGTTAGTTTCATACCTTATATATTATTAGCACATATATGATATATTTATTTATATAATGTAAATTTGCAGTTTTCTGTATATTATATATTATTTGACATATCTAATATCATGTAACATGATCTTATAGATGAATAAAGTGAATATGAATATGAATACAAATTCAGTGTTTTTGGTGTCGTTTTTCGTATTAATAAAATAAAATAGCCATTTACATTTTCATGTTGAATATCTGGTGATAAGGCAACCATTTTTACGAGTTTTGTGGTAGGTTGATGAAACGTATTCATGATGCGCTGAAAGAAACAGACATATGAACGCTTTTATTTGTGAACGGTATAAATCAAAATTAACGTCAAATGTAAAACTGTTTTATACATTGTTGTGGACCTCCTACGAAATTGTATACTACATTATTTTTCAGAAGACATAACAATAATTATTATTTGTTACAGTTACCAATGTTATCAATAGTTATCAATAGAAAAATTTGAACAACGATTTAAACTTAGGTCAAAATTCAGATATCGACAAATTACGTAATATTAAAAAGTGATAGATGTGCAAGTGACGATATTTTGCGTCTGCAAATATTATGTATTTGGATGTAGAATGTTCATTTTCAAAATATGCCTTAATATTTACATTCTGGTATAGAAGTTTCGCAGAGTATACTACTATGGAGGGTTTATTAATGATGCATGTGTACGCTGACAACCATAAACTACTGTTATTGGACATGATATGAGAGGTAAGTCTGTAAGTTACACCATGCCCCTCACCAACGCCAGTCAGTGTCTTAAAACGAGCCATCTTTAAAAAAATTAATGAATGAGATAAAACAAAATTATTAAACAATTTAATGGCATTTAACGTGACAGAGGTTCAAGACAAAGAAAGTGAGACAACAAATCAGGATAAAATAAGAACTCTAAATCAAGTACCTCATAAATTAAAGTGATATCCAACACAACATAAACTATAAATCAAGTACTCTATAATAAACACCAGAAAAAAGTGTATAAAAAGCACTAGTAATAACGATATAAAAGCAGACCATAAGAAAACAGATAATTTTGCTGTCACTGAGAAATAAATTAAATTAAAAATTTAAAATAAGATAAAATAAATAGGAAAATATTTAAAGTGGTAACCAAAAAGTAGTAATAACAGATTTGTGTTTTTGCGTCATACACCCAGTTCTCTAATAGCGATTATCAGTTATTAATGTTAATAGGACGTTTTCAGGATGGATAAAATACGCGTTGCGCTAAATAACTGATCTTTGAGGTTCTTCAGGTCATCACTCAAATATCGAGAGATCTGTACATATTGGCATATACACTTGTTGGGCTCCATTTGTACAAGATGAATGGGTTTTTATATCAAATCACAACGGCGCATAAACTGTTATCACAAATCTAGCTAAAACCTTCAAGTTCAAGTCAGAAATTTCCGATTTCAGCGTTGAATCGGAATGAGAGGATTCATAAATCAAAGTCTTCAAATAATAATTGAATCCAGGATTAGATGAAGTCCTTCCTCGATCATATTCTTCAAACTTTTTCACTTCCATTTTTCAATGTACTTTGTACACAAATCCAATTTGCATCTAGAACGTAGAGGATTTCTTTTCATCCGCTATTTTAGTTTGTCTTCTGGTCTTTTTATTGTTCCGTTCCATAGATTTTTGATTCTGTCAGTTTTGACAAAATCATTTTTATAGCAAATCTCTAATCCAGTATGATTGTTTGCTCTTTGGCAGAAACTTTTCAAGATTTTTCTTTCGTGAACAAGTAAATAAAATTTTGCATTTGCATAAACTGGTACACGCTTGTCTCTAAACTTATTAACTTATTAACTAGACTTATTAACTTATTGACTAGACGCAATATCACCAAGTGATATTGCGTCTAGCCTTTGGAAAACATATTAGTCTTAAATATTCGTTGTGATAGCTACGAATCAGTTACAAAATACGATCCTGTGTCACTATAGGATTCAAAGTTTTATTCCAAATTTCGACAACACCCATATTTCTAAAAAAATTGATTTTTTGAAACAATAAAACCATTGCATTTTAAGCTATGTCTGACGAACAAACATACTTCAAAACATTCTCGACAGTGGTAAAATAAAATAGATTAGATCACTAGCAGAATATAAAAGGTGGCAACTAATTAAACCTCTTATAACAATGGACTTGAATTATTCATTTTACATTGTAGAACATTTTGATAAGACTATTCCAATTATAACATGTCTTTAGCTCAGACAACCAAATTGCAACTAAAAGTGTTATAATATATATTTATAAAAAATACAGTTTCAGTCATAGAGATCGGGATGTATCGATAAATGACATCAATTCCAAGGCTGACGCTAGGTAATGTTTCACCGCGTAAATTTGTTGACGCATATATGAAAATATCTTACCTTGTGGTTATTTTGGCGAGTTCGGTACCATCGGCTTGTGGCCATGTGGCTTCATGGTTCAGTGGTAAGGACACTTGTCTCTCAACCTGGAGTTCCGGGTTCGATCCCCTGAAGGTACCATGAGGAAAAAAGGGGTGTATTACCTGTGGTGTTTAATTTAACAATCCAAATCTACAGTTAATAAGAAGAGGGCTGAAAGTATTTGTGAATGTAACACTAACACACACAATGTATTTTTAATTAGCGATCATAAGAGTAAAAGTAACTAAAGATTTGCCACCTTCTAGCTGCAAGCATTGGTGGCTTCATCCACGCTAATCCAGACATATTTGTCATTCAGTTCCAAATAAATTTTTTATTTAATATTGTCACATCTCTGTGAAAATATTTTTTTCAGTGTCGTTTCCGATGGCACCTGAACATTCTAGTGGATTACCTAGTTTCGTCCACAATATATTAAATCCAACCATCGTTTCTGTTAAATCTAAGTTAAAATTGGTTTGCATGTCACTATTAGTAACACCCAACTAGCACCAAAGTGACGGGAACTGGCATCGGAACTTTAATAAAGTAGGCATTACATAACTGTCACTAAATTTGCGGCTTTTGTGTAAAATTTACCTTGTGGTATGCCCGTGTAGTAACGATTACGTAAATTCTACTGAATTCAGGTACTGCCTAGTTATTACACTTTCAAGTAGCTGATGCAGTATTTACAACGTCGCGGATACTACTCTGCATTACTTTAAAGCATATTCAACTTTAAAGTGAGAATTAATGGTAATGCCGACTGCACAGCGTTACCAAAGAATCACTTCAAAGTAATGATAACTGAAAGTGTTCTATTTAAAGTTCCTATAACGTTGTCGGGACATGTTCTGGAGCTTTAAAGTTATGTAACTTATTAACGATGTTAAGTCAACACTTTATTTTACCGAAAATCGAAAATGGCGCCGAAAATCAGTAAAACAACAACAACGATTTTTTATAGAAAAGTTAAGTGAAGTTAATAATTTAACAAATTATTTGATTGATGCAGAACCGACCCTTATTCGTTGAAATAGATAAATAATCAGGTTAGGAAAATTGTCGGAGGAAATCGGACATTGCAGTGAAGAACCAACAAATGTTGAAGTAAAGAATGTAATTGATTGTCATTGTTTGTGATTTACCATTAACTGTTATTAATTAAAATTTCGCCCATTGAACAAATTCGCAAAATTCAGAGAAATGAATAACTTAGGGAAGTTATACAAAATTTATGAATGATCAGATTACAGAAAATGTGGATAATAGTGTCAACTTCGGGCAATCGAGATTTTCGCCACATTAAATTTTGTTGGTATTCAAGGTAAATCCTCGAGTTACTGCAAAGTTCCCACGTACTTTACGACCCTTACTTTTAAGTTGGTAGAGTTAGCTGATCCGATCTATATTTCATTCATTTCATATGAGCACATAGAATTTTTTTTACCTGAGCTCGCAGAGCGACATTTTCTCAACCTGCAGTCGTGCCTATATTAGAGAACTAATATAGGCGCGCGGTGCAATATATAAATTCACAGAATGTATTTATGAAATACCGTGCCTACGCTAAAATTTTGTATGTGCTTATATGAAATGAATGAAGTATACGTAAAAATAATTGAACTGATTCTGCGGTTGGTTCCTTGTGAAACATCATTAAATATTTTAAATATATGAAAGAAATTTGCTTTTTAATGTTTCAATAATATTTTATTAGAAACTCTACACGTGTTTCGGCTTTTTAGGCCTTTGTCAAGAATACAGGGAATACTGAACAATAAAATTTGTGTTCATTGCTTATATATAACTACATCTGGTACCTACTATAAAACTATTGTAAAATATGTTTTTAAAAGTTGAATATTACTTTATTTTTTAAAATCTAAATTATTTTAAATAAAGCCGAAACACGTGTAGAGTTTCTAATAAAATATTTTTGAAACATTAAAAAGCAAATTTCTTTCATATATTTAAAATAAAAATTATTTTATTGTTTGGGATTGGCAACACATTAATGATTCAAAACATCAACAGGTGACAGGTGGAAGTATTATTAGCGAAAATCAAACAAATGATTAACACGAGGATTTATCTTGAATACCAACAAAATTCAATGTGGCGAAAATCTCGATTGCCCAATTATCCATATTTTCTGTCATCTGATCATTTACGTATTCATAAATTCTATAATTTTCCTAAGTTATGCATTTGTCTGAATTTTGCGAATTTGTTTAGTGAGCGAAATTTTAATTAATAACAATTAATGGTAAATCACAATCAATTACATTCTTTACTTCAACATTTGTTTGTGTTTCACTGCAATGTCCCATTTTCCCGACAATTTTCCCAACCTGGTTATTTATCTATTTCAACGAATAAGAGTCGGTTCAACATCAATCAAATAATTTGCTAAATTGTTAACTTCACTTAACTGTAATATAACCTTTCTATGAAAGGTCGGTGAATGCCGGAAAACTTTATTGTTGTTTTACTGCTTTTCGGCGCCATGTTCGATTAGTTCCGATTAAGAAAATGTTGACTTATTGTCGCTAGTAAGTTACACAACCTTGCAGCTCCAGAAAATGTCCCGACAACGTTACAGGAACTTTAAATAGAACACTTTCAGTTATTATTACTTTGAAGTGATTCTTCGGTAACGCTGTGTAGTCGGCATTACTACTAATTCTCACTTTAAAGTTGAAAATGCTTTAAGGCAATGCAACGGAGTATCCGCGACGATTTATATACCACAAAAGTTACTTGAAAATGTAATAAGTATGCAGCACCTGAACTCAGTAGAATTTACCCAATTGTTACTATACGGGTATATCACAAGGTAAATTTTACACTAAAGTTGCAAATTTAGTGACAGTTATTTAATGTAATATTAAAGTTCCGATGCCAGTTCCTGTCACTTTGGTGCTAGTTGTGTACATGTGTACACAAAACTCTAACAAAAGTTATGCAAGGCACCGATGTGATAAAACATGTACAACAATAGTTTACCACAATCAAAACTTATTCAAGTTAAGTCAATATTATACAGACATATGGTAGATATGACGCAGTGGAGCAAATTTAAAAATATTTGTCAGCGGTGTTGTACGATGGAAACACTCAACCTGTAGAGATGCGAGTCTAGGAACGTGAAAGTTTAGCTTACTAAGTATTCCACCACAGGTAATATCATTACTTATTATTTTATGTTGGAATATTATAGAGGAACGTTTCCGACGTTTGTCCAGAGTCTCCATAGAAAATTTGTTTAGTAATTCTTCCTGCGGGAAACTTAGATGTTTTAAAAAACAATAATACACCTTATCGATTTAATTTATAAACACCTTAATATGGATTTGAAACAATTGACGTATAATCAAATCACGACTAACTCGAAAAACCTGCTAAGAGAGTGATAATATGGTCAGAGAAAGATAATTTTATACATAAATTGAAATTACTCCAAAGTCCTTAATTATTGATCTTCTAGCCTAAATGTCCCAATTTATATAATTGTATTGGTAGTCTTGACATGATAATAAAAATATTTTCATGTAAAAGAATCTCCATAATCTTGCACAAATTAAAATTATACTGATAGAACAAACATTGTCATTTCGGTTTAAACACCTTTTTTAAATACGAGACGTAGTTTAGAAAATTTTCAACTATCTGAAAAAATACACTTAAAGATAAATCAAATATTATCCAAACTGGATACCGTACCGTAAATGTATGTGCACAGTTAATCATTATAATTTATAAAAGCAAGTATACCATTCGTTTTAGAGCACTGAGAACTTCAATTTTAAACAGGAAGTTGTATTAAGATGTTCACCAAATCACATTTAAAATAACTTTCAGCAAATTTACTCGGTGAATATGAATCAGCATAAGGCATTAAATAGGTCAACAGGTTCACTAAGAATTTCTCCGTTATAGTGCATTTCATAAGACATGTTAGTTACTGCATTCTTTAAATCAATGACCAAAATTATTGGGGATTTTTGGTAATGTTATTTTCTGGATCATGTATGTATATAATTTATATATCTCTAAAACTGTACAAAAGGCAAATTAAATTTTCCAACGGTGCGTCTCTAAGATTCTTTCAAAGGCGGATCCAAGAGCTTCCTCAGGGGGTACACTTAACACAAATATTGAAAACACCTAAAAACAAATGCCAGAAATGGTTTAAGAAAAAATACAGGTATTTTAAGAACCCATTTTTTATAGTAAATTTTAAACTCAAATACAAATAAATTAACCTTTACGCTTTACGCAATAAATAACCCACGGGAGCTGGTATTCATATGTTATTTGTGGCGAGAGGGGATTAATCTTATTATTGACACAGTATAACTCAGTAATATTAAAATGCTATACTACTATTATATTCTTTCTTTTTCAATAATAGGCTTGCAGACATGGATATCAGCTACCTCTTGGCATTTATAAAGTAGACGTAACTGTATGTAAATAGAAATGAAAGCATGGTGGTTTATAAAAATTGAAAATGAACTTTAAAACTAAAAACAAATATTAAGAAAACTATGAGAATAGCTATATTTTCGAAAAGTAATGTGATTACTATCTTCAAAAGGATTAATTGTTTTGAATAAATCCAAAGAATTGTCTAGATAGACAATGTCGAGTGAAAGATGAAACCATATAAGAGCTGTTGGGATTAAGAAACATAATTAAATATTTTTTTTATTTGTCTGCACCACCTTTAAATATTGTTCCGTAGTTAGAGTCAACACACATTTTTTAAAACAAACCCTTATTCTTATAAACAAGTCGTTTTTGATATTAGAAGTAATCGGCTGAAGGATTAGCCCTTAACATTTCCGCTTCACATATTTATTGGATTAATTAAAGAAAAGGATAACGAAAACAACACATTAAAAAATGCTTTCACTGGAATTCAACGAGCTATCTTAGATAAAAACGTTTAACAACTATATTCTCTCTCAAATATCAAATTTTAAATAGAAGCAGAGTCAAAAATGAATAATTGAATATGTTTATACTACTATAATTCATGTTATATAACATTTTTTAAGGATAATAATAAAAATAACCCAATTTAAAGA